CGTTTGAGTGTGTGCGCCGGTGTTCCGGATTGACTGGTTCCCCGATCAACTGGTTGACAGATGTGGAGGCGTGGCCTTCGACTGAAATACACATTTCGATCGCTTCTTCTGCCTATTACATAAATCTTTTGGTATATTTGGCTGGATAGGAACACTTTGATACACATTCAGTACCAGTGTGTGAGGTTGTGGTTACGATGGCGATATCCGGACGCGAACAGCGAGGACTACAAAAAGAAAAACGAGTTGACATGGGGATGTCTGTTCAAAACATTGCGAGCTCCAATAAATCATTTAAACCAGCTATTGTTGCCAGACTTATTACTGAATATCGTTCTTAATGTGATACCAAGTCCATCTGAGACATGTGTACACCTTCAGACAGCCTCCCAGTGAAGCGTACGTTATTTACTCACAGTTTGAAAGCAGCGTGGAGAAGTCTTCAGCTGTGGTAAGTTGTGATCCGCTCGAATAAAACCTTAAAACCAGCTATTGTTGCCCGACTTATCACTGAATATCGTTCCTAATGTGATACCAAGTCCATCTGAGACATGTGTACACCTTCAGACAGCCTCCCAGTGAAGCGTACGTTATTTACTCAGAGTTTGAAAGCAGCGTGGAGAAGTTTTCAGCTGTGTTAAACTGTGATCCTCTCAGGTAAACTGTGATTCGCTCAGGGTCAACTGGGATCCACCCATGGGAAAATGGGATCCGCCCAGGTTAAACTGTGTTACGACTTCTGTGGCTATCTACCAGCGATCATGTTTAATATGAAAGACACACACACATTTATTCCTTATAAAAAAGGCATTCTGCAGCACTCATCCAGATAACATGTGACTGTTAACTCGTTTTGCAAAGATAGCAGCAGAAATGTCATTGCTGCATGTGCAGGGATATTAGACTTTAAAATGCTGATGGGTCATTAATCTTGGTCTCGGCAAACAATATTAGGAATCCTCTATTCAAACTACATAATATTCAGTGTCCATCGACATGAAAATAACAAAAAAGTTCATGCTGGACTCAAACCCGAGTTCGAACAGCAAAAGTCACTCCAGCCCTGCGTGTTATGAGTGCGCCACGGATCAACACGATACCACGGTAAAACTAACACTTATCACAACATAATGTGGCCTCGCAGGCTGATAAACTAGGATATCTGATCTCGGTGGGTCTTAATGAGGCTTGATACAGACCTCAGTCAGAATACTATATTATAATATGTATATTATATGGCTTAAAGTGTACATACATTCGCTCACATTATAAATGATGGTCGGGTTGCATTTTTCTGGAACTTTTTAACAAGGTTAATCTAAAATATTTTAGTGTGGTGGTTCGATATGTTGTGTTGATCCGTGGCGCACTCATAACGCGCAGGGCTGGAGTGACTTTTGCTGTTGGGACTCGGGTTTGAGTCCAGCATGAACTTTTTTGTTATTTTCATATCGATGGACACTGAATATTATGTAGTTTGAATAGAGGATTCCTAATATTGTTTGCCGATACCAAGATTAATGACCCATCAGCATTTTAAAGTCTAATATCCCTGCACATGCAGCAATGACAATTCTGCTGCTATCTTTTCAAAACGAGTTAACAGTCACATGTTATCTGGATGAGTGCTGCAGAATGCCTTTTTTATAAGGAATAAATGTGTGTGTGTCTTTCATATTAAACATGATCGCTGGTAGATAGCCACAGAAGTCGTAACACAGTTTAACCTGGGCGGATCCCATTTTCCCATGGGTGGATCCCAGTTGACCCTGAGCGAATCACAGTTTACCTGAGAGGATCACAGTTTAACACAGCTGAAAACTTCTCCACGCTGCTTTCAAACTCTGAGTAAACAACGTACGCTTCACTGGGAGGCTGTCTGAAGGTGTACACATGTCTTAGATGGATTTGGTATCACATTAGGAACGATATTCAGTGATAAGTCGGGTAACAATAGCTGGTTTTAAGGATGTATTCGAGCGGATCACAGCTTAACACAGTTGACGACTTCTCCACGCTGCTTTCAAACTGTGAGTAAACAACGTGTGCTTCACTTGGAGGCTGTCTGAAGGTGTACACAGGTCTCAGGTGGACTTGGTATCACATTAAGAACGATATTCAGAAATAAGTCTGGCAACAATAGCTGGTTTAAATGATTTATTGGAGCTCGCAATGTTTTGAACAGACATCCCCAGTCAACTCGTTTTTCTTTTTGTAGTCCTCGCTGTTCGCGTCCGGATATCGCCATTGTAACCACAACCTCACACACTGGTACTGAATGTGCATCAAAGTGTTCCTATCCAGCCAAATATACCAAAAGATTTATGTAAACGACAGAAGAAGCGATCGAAATGTGTATTTCAGTCGAAGGCCACGCCTCCACATCTGTCAACCAGTTGATCGGGGAACCAGTTAATCCGGAACACCGGTGTCTGAACGCTCACTCACTGCTAGCTATGTAGCTAACTGTTAGGCTACTTAGCTTGCATTGTTGTGGATCTAAAGGTAGCACAAGCTAACTTCCATAGCACAGCTTTACTTCTCACTTAACACAATAAAGAAACAGACCGTATAGCACAAACAACACAAATGATCAATACTTACATATATTTTCACTTGTATTATAATAATTGAAATGCTGGTTCTTCTGGGGGTCTTCTGTCCACGCTCAGCTAGCTACCGCACCGCAGCTGCCTGCACTGTACAATCGCTGGAGGACTGGGCTGTCACTCAAAAACTGAGTAGCCAATGGGGACGCACCCCTGAAAGTCCCGCCCACCTGGGAGGTTTGTGTCAGAATCTCAAACAAAAAATGAGGGAGCGCAAAAGAGAGAGCTGCAGCGAGAGCAAAAGTCTGATCATTGAGAAAGAAGAAACAAGAACTGCAAACAAAAACCTATGTTAAAACAAAGAAGAAATACTTATAGTTTACATGATTACACAAATGATTTGTTTGCAACTTATAGTTTTATTTTTGAAATTTATTTTTATTTTGCTTGACTCCGTTTTTTTTTCTTTTCAACTCATAGTTTTGCTTTATTCTGAAAAAGTGTTGCTTTATCTTTATGATACAAAACTAATCCCATACTTTGCCTCCTTTTATAGATTACCAAGTGTTCGTATATAAACAGTATGTGATTTGAAATGTTTCTTTGAAGTTGTTCTCACTTTGTAGTATGTCAGATAATGTTACTTTTGAAGAGATTGCCAAATAATGAGTACAATTTTTGACAACATTTGCTTTTCCTGATAGGAAGTGTAGGGTTCAAAGGGAATGTATCTGAAATAAAAAATGTAGATACGTTATAAAGCACTGTGAGGCCTTGCATTCTCAATATTAATACTTCTTTAGCATAGAGCTCTTGAAGCGTGTGGAAGTAAAACTCCGACAGTAAACATGGACAAAAAATGGACACTGCTTGAGTATTTCTCAATAAATGGTATTGTAAATTGTGTATTTTAGTGTATTTTTCCTTAGGGTCAGCCTAGGGGTAGGGCTTAAGAGGTTACAAAATAATGTTTCCATAACCATATTGGTTAATATATTGTCTTATCAATGTGTCGTGAGAAATAACTTGTAAAAGGATTACTTTATGACCAACTGCTCATCTTTCTTTCTATCTGAAACCCTTCACCCCGTCATTTATGGCTCAGATGACATTTGTAGATTACTGTGCCTATCTAAATAATCAATGGATCAACAACATAATTCAGGCACGCATTTCCCCATAGAGCATAGAACATTTTTGACAACATTTGCTTTTCCTGATAGGAAGTGTAGGGTTCAAAGGGAATGTATCAGGTGAAGGTCGCTATAAGGATACAGTGTTGTTGGTGCTTTTTACCACTCTAGTTACATATTATTCAGGGCAGTGTGGATGGTGAATAGCAATTCCAATATTGTTGCAGGTTTTACTTTAAGGCAACAATTTAAATGTTTCTACAGGTTGCAATTACAACGTTGCTAGGAGGTAAGAACAGTTACGTTTCCAAGTCCTCTTGCAATGCCTTGTTTTATTTGTTCAATCCCTTTATATTGTCTGTTAGCCAATGACCTAATGACCAAAAGTGCAAAACAAGTGTTAAAATGATCCACACATGCTCAAGAGTCCAGCACCCTGCTGCCGTGCTCCAATGAAAAGGCTGAGATAATGGGACATGGTACAGTATGTACTTTATTAGCTTTGCTAAAGACGAGTATTTGAAAATATGTCAAATAGAAAAAAGGTTGACCTAAATAGTTTTTTCTCTTGTGTTAATGAATCAAAACAGGCAAAGATAATTAAGCTATTTGTAGGATAACCTCTCTTACCTCTTTTTTCACAGATAAATAAAAAGAAACAGGAAATTAGAAAGATAATTCGGGCAAAACACTTTCTTTGCAAAGTTTCTTAAGAAAACAACATGAGAAATGCAAATTAGAATTGTGAAACATGATTATTCATTATTCTTATATTTATAATATACATTCATTCGTGAAACAAGTCGCTTTGTAACGCAAAGTGCGTCTGCTGATAATAGTTTATTATAGTTACATTGACAGCTGTTATATACTTGTTTTATTGTTAAATTAACAAGAAAACATGGCTGGTAAAAGAGATTCTCTACTGTGATTCCGTCGTTTTTAAAGTGCAAATTAGTTTAAAAGACATGTTATGGGAGAAATCAATCCAAGTTCTTTAAAGCATATTCTGACTTTATAATAAACGGCCTGCAAATGTGAGCACAGAGGAAGATGCAGTTATCACAAGTCCAGAGTCTTTCTGAGCCTATCACACAGCTGCAATAAAACAGTGTCATTGACACCGCTTGGATGTGATATCCATCTTTTAGTTGATGCAATAAGAAGAAAACAGAATTGCTTTGAAAAGCTTGGCTATCAGTGGATAATATCAGTATATCCTTTGCATGCCACAATGAAGTACCTATTGTGGGTTGCTTTGCTGTATTCGTTTTGTATGTATGGTTGTTGCAATGAGTTTAACCCGCAGGAAGACTTCATGCTTGTTGCAGGCCCCCTGAACGATGCATTCGACTGCAGTCATCCAGTACTTCCAGGCTCTAAACAGCCCTTTGAGTACCTCCAGAGCAGAGGGGTGACCCACTTCAAAGTACCGCTGTCATGGGTTCACCTCCTTCCTACAGGTTTCCCCGGACACCCGCAGCAGGCCGTGGTCACCTGCTACCAGACCCTGATGAAACAGCTGCTGGAGGTGGGCCTTCAGCCTCTGGTGGTCCTGCATGGATCCACAGTGCCAGACTCTCTGAGATCGAGGTATGGAGGCTGGGAGAACCCTGAGCTGGGAGACATGTTCCAGCAGTACGCTGAGTTTGTGTTTGGAGAGTTTGGAGAGCTGGCACTCTCCTGGGTGACATTTAGCGACTTGGATGATGTTAGGCATGATCCTGGTCCTCTGCAAACTATCCTGAAACTCAACAAGAACATTTACCAGCTCTACCATCAACGATTTCCTGAAAAAGGTGAGTAAGACTGCAGAGAAAGCTCCTGTTTGTAGGATTGGCAATGTGTTACTGTGTTGTAATAGTTAAACATGACACTTATTTACACTTAATAGGTTGTTGAACAGATATGCCTGTAATTCTGCCCCTGAAAACATGTGTCTAGCTTTAAGAATCAATAAACTACCTGTATGCTGTTCAAACCTGTCTTTTACTATGTATTTCAATAATAAACTCGTTCAAATAATAATAAAAAAACGGGAGATTTCAGTTACTAAAGTTCCTAAGTTTGGGTTGATGCCAAGTCAAGAGCTCACTTAGTCAAGTTTGAATGAAATTCCTTCCACAAGGTCTGGCTCTTCCTGGCCCCTTGATGCTGTGTTTGAATCACCTCCAAAAACCAATGTTGTATTATGTTGTCCAGCTTGCTTAATAAAAACTTTAGATACTTTATAAAGCACTGTGAGGCCTTGCATTCTCAATATTAATACTTATTTAGCAGAGCTCTTGAAGCGTGTGGAAGTAAAACTCCGACAGTAATCATGGACAAAAAATGGACACTGCTTGAGTATTTCTTAATAAATGGTATTGTAAATTGTGTATTTTAGTGTATTTTCCCTTAGGGTCAGCCTAGGGGTAGGGCTTAAGAGGTTACAATATAATGTTTCCATAACTATATTGGTTAATATATTGTCTTATCAATGTGTCGTGAGAAATAACTTGTAAAAAGGGATTACTTTATGACCAACTGATAATCTTTCTTTCTATCTGAAACCCTTCACTCCATCATTTATGGCTCAGATGACATTTGTAGATTACTGTGCCTATCTAAATAATCAATGGATCAATAAAATAATTCAGGCATGCATTTCCCCATAGAGCGATGCCCAATGGGCTTTTTCTGCAGATTCATCATAGTTAGTGTTGCTCATAACATTAATTGGGCTCTGTGTTATTCAAAAAAAACGAATGAAAGCCAGCAGGATCAATACCAGGACAATGAAACAGCAGCAGTTAAATAGAATTCAGCTATACTAAATAATAGTGTCTTCATTGTTCCACAGGGAGACGTCTGTCTATTGGTCTGAGAGCTAGTGATGTGGCAATCCTTCCCCAGATAATAAGTTCAACCAAAGTAAGCTGCATCTTCTGATTTCTTACATTTTCTTTTTTAAGCAGTTGCAATATAAACTTTTGAGAATAGTAAGCATTATAAATAAAATGGTTAGTCATGTCTAGGATTGAAAGGGAAATGTTAACATGATTCTGTGGATGTTGTGTCAATCTAGAATTCTACACGCATGAATACAAACCAACTTTATTTACAAAGCAAACACCACACCTATAATTAATTTGTCACTTCATGTAAAGCATTTGCCGCATCTCAACAAAGTGCTCTAGAATATTAGATGGTCCTAGTGGTTGTATTTTGCATATCTAATATGGCATTTTCCAAAGTATTTTATTAGCCTTTCAAAATGATTTATACCTTTACTTATCTTAACATTCTGTGTCAGCAACTTGTTGCCATACTTTATTTGCCCTCTTACACACATGTATCGCAGAAAAACCAATATGTTAAGGTTACATTAGTGTATTCACATTATACAAATTGGCCACCATGTGTATGAAGTAGAACACAATGTGATTTGGTTGTTTTTCTATACCTGTCCAAGATGCACATTGACAGTAATAAATCTATTTTATTCAGATTTATGAAAAGGGACATTTTTACTATGATCAAAAGGAAAAATAAATGATCCTGTGAATGTCTAGTAATGTAGACCCTACGACAATAAAACTTAAATAAGCATTTATTGATGTATACTCATTAATATTCATGAGTGGTATAACATACCCTACTGTATCTCCTTATTTTAAACAGATGGATTTCTTGTCAATGCACATTGAATATGAATGTGAATCAGCAAACCTTGGTGAGGAGCTGAGGAGAGTACAGGTACGGTTAACATTAATGGGTGATCTGAATTCATAAAATGTTTTTCATGTTTTGTATTACACTGTTATGTTGTAGGTGTCCAGTGGAGACTTGCCTATCCTCATATACGAGATGACTGTTCATGGTTGTCCCTACAGTCAATATCAGGTTCTTGGCAATTTCTTACAAGGTAAATGTAATTGTACCTGACTTAGTACTACTGTGTTATTCAATGTTCTACATATAATTTTAAAATACCAAGAAAGTAGAGAAAACAAGTCTTCCTAACCCTAACCCCAACACTAACCCTTTCCATGGAACAACATTGTCTTCATTGAATTAAACTATAACAATATGTCTTTAAAAAACATTTACTGAGTTATCTATTATTATTCTGTGATATGTCAAACAATCCAATGCACTTCAAGAGCTAATACACACATACTTGTGTTTGCACTCTAAAAGGGACCATTTAAAGAAATATTGAAATATGCCTGTGCTTTTTCTAACCTCAAATATTCAAATATTCTATAAAAAAATAACTCTAGATGGAGTAAGTGTTGATTGTTGAATATACATTTCCAACACAATCTGAACCAATCTTCTGTGTTTTTACCAACCAATGAGAACAAGGTTGGCCTGTTGTGCATTTTAAAATCATTAACTTATTTAGTACCGTAATCACGGGAGTGTTATCATGTAATCCTTTTAGCTATGTAACAGAACAGCTGTAATAGGTCTTGTTTTTTCTTTTTTATGTGAATGCAATAAACACAGCTCAGTGTGTTAAACAGGTAATGCTGCTGCATATTTTAATACAACTCGGGTCTTGATATAAAAACCAAAATGACTGCATCTTCATTTATGTCCGCGCATGTTATTATTGTTGGTCATATAACTTGTATTAACTTAGTTTTGCACTCATTACAGTGTTAATGAGCAACGCTGACCTGAAGATTGTCGGATGTGACACAGTGGATATGTTGGGTGAGCCTGAGACGGAGGACTTCCCAACCAGGTAACCATTTATCCTGGTGAAATGTACAGTTGCATTGGTATTGACAGTTTGCTTTTGTATGTTAACATTGTTTTGCGTCCTTATTTTCAACAGTCATGCCATTTCAGACATTAATAGAATTTCAGCATTAAGAAACAATTATCAGAATGTGTGGAATCAGTTTGCGGCTCAAACTGATCGGGATCTCTTCCTGAACGTATCATTTCCCGTTGACTTCCAATGGGCCACCTCCAGCGAGTCCTTCAAGGTGGAGGGAGGCTGGGCAGAAGATGGGAAGGGAGAGACCATTTGGGACCGTTTTGGTCATGATGGTCTAGTCTTTGCCAATCAGACTGCTGATCTCACTTGTGACAGTTACCACAAGGTGGATTATGATGTCTACCTCCTGCGAGGTCTTCATGTTAACACCTACCAGTTTTCCATCTCTTGGGCTCGTATTTTCCCTTCGGGCCACCGGGGCAGTCAGTCGGAGAAAAGTGCTCTCTACTATGACAAGCTGATCAATGCTCTCATTGATTCTGGTATACAACCTGTTGTCACTCTCTACCACTGGGATCTGCCCCAGGCCCTCCAGGACTGTGGTGGATGGACCAACGCTTCCATTGTTGAAGCCTTCAAAGACTACGCAGATTTCTGCTTCTCCAGGTTTGGAGACAGAGTCAAGACCTGGAACACTTTCAGTAGCCCCTGGGTGGTGAGTCATGCTGGGTATGGCACTGGTGAGCATGCCCCAGGAGTGAAAGACTATGTGGTGGCCTCCTATCAGGTGAGGGCAATATTTATACTATATTGTAAATACATAATGACACACAGCCAACCTCATGCAATTACCTCATTATTTATGTTATCTTTGCAGGCGACTCACAACATGATCAAATCCCATGCTGAGGCCTGGCATGTCTACAATGAGAAGTACAGGAAGACACAAGGAGGCAGAGTGGGCATTGCATTGAACTCTGACTGGGCTGAACCCGTGGACCCCTCCAGACCAGAAGACATCGCAGCTGCAGATCGCTACCTACAGTTCATGCTGGGCTGGTTTGCACATCCCATATTTGTCGATGGAGATTATCCTGCATCATTCAAGACTCAAATTGAACAGAAAAGAAACGAGTGTCCTCTCTCTGAACCTGCAAGACTCCCAGTCTTCACAGCTGAAGAGAGGAAGAGGATACACGGAACCGCTGACTATTTTGGATTGAACCATTATACCTCCCGGTTAGTCAACAACAGTGCTGGTGGCTGCACCCCTGGTCCTCAGGGGGTTGGCAACTTCCAGTCACACGTAGATCCCTCATGGTCCTCAACAGCTTCTGACTGGATATATTCTGCACCTTGGGGTCTCCGAAGGCTTTTAAACTACATTTCCACAGAGTATTTGAACATTATCAAAGTGCCAATCCACATTACTGGGAATGGTATGCCTACTGAGCACATTGGGGACAGTCTGGATGATGTCAGTAGAATAGACTACATGAAGAGTTACATCAATGAGGCCCTTAAAGGTGAGTGTCTAGAATGTATCTAATAGGCAACCACCTTTTACCCTGTGTTAAAATAATATAAACTTTGATGTGCTGTTGCGTGTCTTTTTTTTTTTTAGCCATTTTCTTAGATGGAGTGAATGTGCAGCGATTCACAGCGGAGTCACTCATGGATGGCTTTGAGGGAAAGAAAGGTTACAGCCAAAAGTTTGGTCTTCATTATGTCAACTTTGAAGATGCAGACAGACCAAGAACCCCGAAGCAATCTGCATATTTCTACTCTCAGGTTATAAAGCAAAATGGATTTGGTGGCCACAAGGGGGAGTTTTTTAATTTGGCAAAGATGCGATTTACTCCCCGTACAACTGCTTTACCACCCTCAGAGGTTCCCTCTAAATCAAAGGTTGTCTGGGAGAAATTCTCAATTCAGTCAAATTTCCAGAGAAAACTCTACCACTACGGCACTTTCCCACAAGGCTTCAGTTGGGGAGTATCATCTTCGGCCTACCAGATTGAAGGTGGCTGGAATGCTGATGGGAAGTGGCCCAGCGTCTGGGATACATTCACCCAAAATGGCAATATTCCTGATAATGCTAATGGAGATGTGGCCTGTGACAGCTACCACAGACTTGAAGAAGACTTCTACATGCTGCGTGCTCTGAAGGTGAAGTCGTACAGATTCTCTTTGTCCTGGTCCAGGATATTTCCTGATGGTCAGCGTACATCTCTGAACCAGAAAGGTGTTGACTATTACAATAGACTCATTGATGGCCTCTTAGCATATAGCATCACTCCCATGGTGACACTGTACCACTGGGACCTTCCTGAAGCTTTGCAAAAACTTGGTGGCTGGGACAATGTAGAGATGATTAACATTTTTAACGACTTTTGTGACTTCTGCTTTGCCACCTTTGGCGACAGAGTGACATTCTGGATGACCTTCAACCAGCCTCATACAATTGCGTGGTCAGGATATGGACTTGGACAGGTCCCACCCAATGTTACAAATCCAGGAATTGCACCATACAGAGTTGCACACAACCTTATAAAGGCCCACGCCAAGGCTTACCACACATATGATGATAAGTATCGTGCATCCCAAGGTGGTCTTATATCCATTGCCCTTAATGCTGATTGGTTTGAACCTAAAGATGTTAATGTTCCTCGTGAAGTGGTGGCTGCTGACCGCGCTCTGCAGTTCCAATTAGGTTGGTTTGCACACCCTATTTTCAAGAACGGTGACTATCCTGATGCCATGAAATGGCAAGTTGGAAACAAAAGTGAGCTCCAAGATCTTAAAGAGACAAGACTACCTTCATTCACTGAAGAAGAAAAGATGTTCATCAAGGGAACTGCTGACATGTTCTGTGTAAATCATTACACTACAAAAATTGCACAGCATGCTACATTGAGACTTAACCCTGCATCATATTTATATGACCAGGACTTGTCAGAAGCAGAGGAAAGTGATTCACCAACTACTGCCATCAAGAACCAGAGAGCTGTCGCATGGGGCTTAAGGAGACTCCTCAACTGGATCAAAGAGGAGTATGGAGATCCAGAGATTTACATTACTGAGAATGGAGTTGCTACAAATTCAAAGACAACTTGGGATGACTCTGCCAGAGTATTTTATTTCAAGACCTATGTTGATGAGGCTCTGAAAGGTGCGCTGAAATACATTTCTTAAGATAAATATCTATGATGGTAATTAACTTTAACTAGATTTGTAGTCTTGATCATTATTTGTGTGTGTTTGTTTTAATGACAGCGTATGACCTTGATGGTGTGAAGGTAAAAGGATACATAGCAACATCTCTCATGGATTCCTTTGAGTGGCTCAATGGGTACAAAGTAGGATTTGGGCTGCACCATGTGGACTTCACTAACCCAATCCGTCCGAGGACACCCAAGTACTCAGCTCATTTCTACTACCAAGTCATAAAGGACAATGGCTTCCCGTCAACAGATGATGACCAACTCATTTATGGCCATTTCCGCAAAGATTTTATTTGGAGTACTGCAACAGCATCATACCAGGTAACTGTTTACATGAAGCCCCTTCATGAATGCTGGATCAGGGAATTGACCAAATATTCCTCACTCTGTTTTTGTCTACTTTAAATCCACTGTCTCCAGATTGAAGGGGGATGGAGAGCAGATGGAAAAGGCCTCAGCATCTGGGACAAGTTTGCTCACACTCCTCTCAGAGTGTTCAATGATGATAATGGGGACATAGCGTGTAACAGTTACAACAAAGTAGAAGAGGATGTTGCTATATTGAAGCAACTTAAGGTGACACATTATCGTTTCTCCATATCCTGGCCGAGGGTGCTTCCTGATGGCACCACCAAGCACATCAACGAGGCTGGACTCAACTACTACCACAGACTAGTGGATGCACTGCTCGGAGCAAACATCCAACCTCACGTATGTGTTATTCCTGCCAGCACCCAATTGGAAGTTTTGCAATAAAAGGTTGGTTAATTTGATAAACCCCAACTGCCTGTTCTTTGTTATCAGATCACTCTCTACCACTGGGACCTTCCACAAGCTCTGCAGGACATTGGGGGCTGGGAGAATGATACCATTGTCGGCAAATTCAGGGATTATGCTGACCTCATCTTTAGCCGTTTTGGCCACAAAGTCAAATTTTGGATCACCATTAATGAACCGTACAATGTAGCCAATATAGGCCATGGCTATGGAGCAGCTGCCCCAGGTATGCTTTTAACCAATGCTCTTAAACCTATACTCTACCTCACACATTACCTGTTCTAATCTGTTTAGTTACATCGCATCCAAGGGAACGAAAGCTAGCTCAAACCATTTGTCTCTACTTGATGATGTGGTGCCACTGGCTAGGTTATATTTTTATATTCTTTTAGGCAGATTTAGATGTAAAAATAGCCGGCTTTCTATATAACCGTACACTTCTCTACCATTTGGTTTGGAAACAGGTTTAAAAGTCAAATGTTTTGAACAGTATTACATGCTCATGAAGGCATTTTAAAATGTGTGTACAGGGATCAGTTTCCGACCAGGCACTCTTCCCTACATCGTGGGTCACAGCCTGCTTAAAGCTCACGCCGAGGCCTGGCATCTCTACAATGACAAATACAGGGCCAAACAGCAAGGAATTATCTCCATCACCATCAACTCTGATTGGTCAGAACCCAGGAATCCATACAAGCAGGAAGACATTGATGCTGCAAAACGTGTGGTGCAGGTACTGAAATAAATAATAGGGACAAACTAACAGTTGTTATTGTCTGTTCTCTAATGGTGCTTTTTGTGTGTCCTTGTGCAGTTCTACATTGGTTGGTTTGCCCATCCCGTTTTTAATGGAGACTACAGCAACATGATGAAGACAATCATTCGAGAGCGAAGTTTAGCTGCTAATCTGACAAAATCTCGGTATTAAAAATAAATAAAAACATTAAACAGAAATAATGGACATTTGTTGTACCATTATCAGGTAGATTTTAATGTACTGTATACTATTTCTCCAGACTGCCTGAGTTCACCCCAGCTGAGATCAAGAGGATTAAAGGTACCTATGATTATTTTGGGTTCAACCATTATACCACCGTCCTGGCATTCCCCGTGAACTATGGAAACCTGCAGCACTACGATGCCGATAGGTAAGCAAGTACTGTGCAAGAAACAAGTGGCAGAAGCAAGTCATACATAATCATGAGAATTGGTACCATCATTTTTGTGAAATAAAACCATGTACTTGAATTAATATTCTTAGGGGTGCAGGAACAATTGCTGATCGTAGCTGGCTGGATTCAGGCTCGTCCTGGCTGAAGGTTTCACCGTTTGGATTCCGCAGGATATTAAACTTCATTAAGGCGGAGTATGGAAATCCACCTATTATCATCACAGAAAATGGTATCTCAGAGCGGGGACCTATTGACCTAAATGATACCCTTAGGAGCTACTACTATGAACAATACATCAACCAGCTGCTGAAAGGTAGTCTTGCTGTATTACTGGATAATGTCTAAACAAGACATCATCTCTAATGGAGTACATAAAGCAAGAACTTCAGTGTATTTTCATTTCTAAAATTGTTCCTTTTCTCTTTCCAGCTTACTTGCTAGATAACGTGGATATCCGTGGCTACACAGCTTGGTCACTGATGGACAACCTTGAGTGGGCCACTGGCTTTTCAGAGAGATTTGGCCTTTTCTATGTCAATCACTCAGACACCAAATTGCCAAGAGTGGCTAAGAATTCTGTTACCTGCTACTCTACCATCATCAACTGCAACGGATTCCCAGACCCTGCATTGGGACCCCATGAATGTTTCAACCCAGCGCCTGAAGGTAAATTGACTTTAACGTTGTATCTTTCTAAAATAACATTAAGAAGAACAATCAATAAGTTGTGGTTTAACTGCTAGACAAAAGCAGTGGAGTCCTGTTGTTAGCATATTAAATGAGTTAATAAGTGACCTTAAGGGGTGAGTGGATTTTGTTACTTTGGTCGTATGGTCCATCCGTTCTTGAGTTATAAATTGGTGGTGTTTTTGGCGCCCCCTATAGTCCAAAATAGAAATTATTTGGTGTGCGTATTTCCCAAGACAGACTGAACCTATCCACCAAAATATGTGATGTTTGGATACATTGTTGAGGAGTTATGAGCATTTCTTTCTAAGCCCCGCCTTTTTGCGAGTACGTTTTGATTAATGGCGGCAATATGTATCGTCTGAACATGCTAATTTTCTACGGTAATGTGTCTGACCCTCCAGCGATGCTGTATACGAAGTTTGGTGTTGAAAAACCTAAAATTGAAATTTAAGTGAATATTTAACTGTTTATGTAAATTATGCTAATTAAAAAATGTAGGCGGAGTTTAGGGTTCCAAGAGGATTATTTCTAGAGCAGGTCCTCCCGGATATGTGTGCAAAATTTCAGGTCATTTGGAGTTACTGTGCGACTTTGTAAATGTATTCTGAAATGGGATTTTGATAGGTGGCGCTAGTGAGCAGGTTGGAATATTTAACCCATTGACTCCAGAATATCAAATTTTTCACCGGTCCTGGCGTCCGTGCAAAATTATACAACTTTTGAAGCATCCTAAAGCTCTCAAAAACAGGTCGAAAGCGCAGAAAAATAATAAGAAGAATTCCTCCAATAACAATAGGTTCCTCGCACTTCGTGCAGTATTTCCGGTCTCTACGTTTTCATAGTAATCTGCAGTACTCATCAACTAAAAACATCAGTTTATCCTTGTTAATTACACAACATTGATTGGTTTAAATTGTGTACAACGCTTTTGTGTGTGTCCTTCGATTCGGAGAAACACATTTTTCGGAGGTTAGGATGGCCGAAGACACTACACTACCCATAATCCCCAGCTTTCGTTTGGGACTACAGTCCCTTTGCTTGACAAACCCCATGATTAGTCTTCAAGCTCTGTGATTGCATGTTGGAGTGGTGGCAGTGCGCCAAGGTTACGCCGAGCATCAAACTTTGAAATGGAATGAAGCCACGGCAGACTATCCAAAACTGGAACGGGTCCCCCCTCCCCCCCGAACTACACATGCTGGCTATTGTGTTTCGCAACATGTTCTATGGCACGTGTCCACTGGGAATTGCAGTTTTAAAAGACGTTTTCGTTTTTCCCACAATTAGAAGTTGCCAGTATTAAACTGTGTACACCCCTGGAGGTTTAGGGCAGGGGTGTCAAACTCAAGGCCCGGGGGCCAAATCCGGCCAGTGACTTCATTTTCTGTGGCCCCACAAGAGCTTGCAGAAAATATTATATTTTTATTATTCGGTTACATGATGATTTACAGAAGCACGTTGCCCATAAACTACATGTCCCACAATGCATCTCAAATTATACTTTTTTCTCAGAATTTGACTTTTTTTCTTCTAAATATGCCTTTTTTCTTAGAATGTGCCTTTTTTCTTAGAATGTGCCTTTTTCTCAGAATTTGACTTTTTAAATATCACTTCCTTTTTAAAAAAAATGTCACTTCTGTTTTTTTGGTTTGTTTTCCAGAATTTGGCTTTTCTTTTTAAAACATTTTGTGATATGCACACTGAAGAGACTTGCAATCATTTGCCCCAGATTTCTGCTTTCAGACGTAGTTAATTATGAAGCTATTACCCAATCCAATAATAATCCAATGCAGAGGCAATAATGTAATATAATACATTATTTTATATATATATTTATATTTGTATTTTTTTATATAGTCTTAAAGTTACAACCGGCCCATTGAGTGCAGCCAAAATGCTGATGTGGCCCACGATTAAATTGAGTTTGACACCCCTGGTTTAGGGGATAGGAAACACATTGGTGTTGTCAAATGTAAAACATATAATTAATAAATGGGTGAAAATTGCTTGTGTCCATAATGGACAGCATTAATATATACCTACATGACAGCTCAGGTCAGAAGAGCTTTATTTAATAGCTGGTCTTATGTCTGTGACCCCATATTGTTAATTGATATGCCTTGAAACATGCACTTGTCAAGGTTCAGAGGCAAATTTTGAAAATATGGCAGTAGTCATCGATCATCTTAAAATAAGATAAGATAATATATACTTTATTGATCCCAAGTAATACATAGCAGCATGTAAAACATGCAATTTATTGTTACTTTGTAATTCTACTCCACTACAATTCAGAGGTTACCACTACATTTATTTTAGTTACTTTACAGATTGGGATTAATGATGTGAAATATAAACAACCCTTAAATCAGACTTTAGTCACACCTGAGTAAAATTCCGGGAAGGTGATTGACAAGTGCCAACAATCAGGAGAAATATTAGTTGGTGCTTGAAAAGACTAAACATTTATCTGCAGATCCCTATACAGTATATTCATTACTCGTTATTCTCTACTAATAGTTAATTAAAGACTGTATAATGGCTATTTTGCACATCCCTTTCAAGATTTCAAGATTTTCTAAGGTTTATTGACATATCATACAACTACGGTGTAGTTATGCAATGATGAAAAATGTGGCTCGCCGGTTCCTCAACAGTGCATTACAAGACATCTAACAATATGTGTGTATACCTCCACCATTAAACTGTCATATTCTGCACATTTCTTATACTATCTACATACATCTTATAAGAGTATAATTAATATGTATAATATCAGTTAAAGTGGACCTATCATGCTATATTTAAATAATATATTGTAGGGCCATACCTATATAAAACATGTCTGTGAAGTTTTTTTTCAAAATACCTAACAGATCATGCATTTTAGCCATGCCTCATTTCGCTCTATTTGCTCTATTCCAGCACTGTTTTTGCAAGGGCTGATTCTGTATGCCAGCGCCACTTACAGGCCTGGCATATGTACTACAGCGTCTCCAGCGTTTTCGAGCGGTCTCGTATGAACGGACACGTTCGTGGCCCAACCCCCCATTCCCCTGATAGGTGGAGAGTTGCCCATATAGATTGCTCCTTGTTTCTGACGTCAGAGATATTTCAAATCTGTATCAATCTGTATCAGATCCGTTGCAGCCCCGTTTTTAGAGATTTGGGTATGGAGGAAAAGAGAGAGGGTTGTGTTTTCTGACACTTGGTGAGTGCCCTGACACACCGGGGTCACATATTCATGTGTAAAAGATGTACAAAAGTGCATTTTGCATGATAGGTCCCCTTTAAAATAGGTGCTTCAACATAGTTAACATTGCAGAAAAAGCAATATATTAGACATTAGGTGCTTTCACACCGCAGTACTTTTCCCACAAAGGTTCATCAGAACTTGCAGTTCATGAGAACTAAAGAGTTCTCATGAACTGCAGATAGCATGAAGTATAAAAGATCGCCGATGCTAATGTAGCGTTGGCGTTAGCATGTCTCCCCCGGGGGCATCCGGGCTTAAACGGTGTATTATAGAATTATCACACCGGTGTGACAGTACTCTTCAAAGGGTTCACGAAATATGACTACTACTCTGTACTTACATTTTGGGTTACTTAATGTTACTTCATGTTAAGGCTAATAAAAATGACAAGGCTAAGGCTGTAATGCTAACTAACGTGCTTGCTACTAACTAGCTAACTTGATCCCCTATCTCCTATTCCTTGACCTCTGAGTGAAACGTCACAGGGTTAAGGGATAGTGGATAGGAGAATTCAAAAGGATTTAGGAGAAGAGACTGCGGTACTTTAGAGAATCCGAATGCACTTTCACTATCCGACGTGGTTATGATGCGCCAGCTGACGTCATGAATGTGCGTCTGCTGCTGTGGGGAAACTATGGAAACAACAGTTTTCTATAGCGGACTACAACATGGATGTATAATAAGAAGGAGGGACTACTGTAAACTCATCTAGAGACTCTGCACCGTGCTCTGATGCTGTTGTTTTATGCGTTATGAACGTGGACAACAGAGAAACATATTCTTCATGACCAAAGTTGGAATTGAAATAAAAAATGAAAGTGAAACTTATGCTCGTCGTCACCCTCTCCCTCCGGTCCACATTAATACAAATGATCCCAATACGTATGATTGTATGAACTATGAAAATATCTTAAAATCAATACAAATGTATTTATTATAAACGTTAGTCCTTAACATCTATCACTATGTATATCACCATTCAAACATCTTTTAAAAGTTGAACAAACCCCACACAGCTCAGTAAAGACTGTGAAATGTTGACTTTAATTGATCATTTCAGTAAAAACGAACGTTCATATTTCTCTTTTTGATTATAATACTGACGAACATTCAACACAAAGCACTTTGGCAACTTACCACATACGTTTTAAAATGCTTAATAAGCACCGTAACTTTCATGATATAATTTCTCCGTCATAATCGGTTGTTTTCGTGAACGGCCGACTGTTGAGTGACGGCAAATGCTGCGGCTGCAATGCATTGTGGGGCAGCATTTTCTCCCCTCCTTTCGAAAAAGGGAGGTCCAGTGGTTCCTAAGCTAAAGGAGGTTATAAAGGAAGTTTGAAACCTCCTTTCCTTTTATTTAGAGAATTGGAACGGCACTTAACATGGCTGCCACTGAGGGACTTCCGGGTCATTTCACTTGGTTAGGAAGGTTCCTAAACTAAATGGACTATTGGAACGCAACCCTGGTCCTTTCATCAGACGGGAAGCGAAAGAACGTGTTACGGTGAGTGAAGCAGGCAGGACCCAAATGCAGAAAAAACTGAAAATACCTTTATTTCAAGGATATGGCACACGGAAAATCAGAACACTCCCCGGTGAACACAGTCACAGACAAACGACTAACCAACACTGAATACAGCAAGAGACAAGACTAAATACAGGGAGGGGTAATCACAAGATGAGAAACAGCCGGGCAGGGGAGGAGAAACACAAGGGCCACAGGTGAACACAATCAGACAACTAGACACACCAGGGAAACTAACGACAGGAGGAAAAACACAGGGAAAAGGACCAGACAATATACCAAGAGGAAAACATGACAGGGAGAACAGCAAAACACCCAAAACAAGACATACAAAACGTGACATAACACAATAATCTTAACAGAACGAGCAAGACTCATTGCTGGTATGATAACAACCTGGTACTAAGCACACAGGCATCTTATCTTAGCTATCTCTTATATTTAGTGGAGGAAAACAATTATGACATCAGTTATGACATCACTTACCCGACTGGGATTTGTAGTCTTTCTAGTTGCGTATTTTTCATAGTCTTATATTTCAACAGTTTTACGACAAACTGTGACTTTTTTGACATGGAAATTATTTTTTTAAGATTGAGAAACATCATATGTGTAATTCATGGCACAATTCAAACGGGATCGAAATATATGTTTTCCCTCCCCATTGACTTCAATCCACAATTTTTCCGAAATAAGGTCCCATGGGTCGGAAGTAGATAGGCGGGACTTCACCTCTCTATACTGCCACCCGAAGTCCCTGGCCGGAAGTCCCCGGAGTTGGGGACTGGCTTCAGTAGAAGCTGCTGGGACTCCCAGCAGCTTCTTCTGAAGCCTTCCGAGTAAATCGCCAGAAAAGTTGGTGGAGGAAATGTCACTTTAAAAACAGAAACAACCTGGTTGGCAAGAAATGAACAAATAATAGAAGTTTAAAGCAAAGTTGTGTTATTTAATAAAGTCAATACAAGTCAAAAAGCATTTAACAGAGTTAATCTATTTCAGCTGAAAGGACAGAGTCTTGCACCAAGAAGTGAATACAAGATCTGACCACATTCAAAGAAAATACAAATACTTTATACACTACAGAAGGAGGGAAGGGCGAATTTACATTACAAGAAGTGTTGAGCAGACGGTTGAAACTTACATACATGTTAATTACAAACCAATGGTTATAGAGACAGACTTTGGTTTGTTCTAAGGAAGATGAAATTAGAGGCTAGATGTGAATTCAATCCGTGGGAAATAAACAGATAATTAAGTTACAGTAATACTTATGATTAAATTAGACTTAATGATAAATTGCTACAACAGCCGACACCTCCTCATCTCCACTGCTCCCATGTTTTATTTTGTGTTGCCATAAGTTAGTCTCTCTGCATTTGTGCGCTGGGCTAATGCTAATGCTAATGCGAGGATAATAAAGTGGCGGCTTCACAAAACTTTCTGGGAGTTTTACGGGGCGTGGTTTGCAATCCGCCCAGCCAATCAGAAATAGGAACCTTTTTCTCCCACGGAAAAGGGGGTAAAAAGGTTCTCATTAACTCATTTTAGTTCCGAATTTTTTTGGTGTGAACGCAACATTTCGGAACTATATCGGAACTAAAGTGGGAAAAGTACTGCGGTGTGAAAGCGCCTAATAAGTACTTTGTCAGGCTTAATATTTCTCTGTAGATACCCCCAAAGCTTTTTTCTTATTTAAAAGATGACATTAACCTAAAGTATTCTTTAATGTTTAAATAAAGGTTAATTCGTTTTTCTGTTCTGCACATCCTCCTATTAATATCTTTGTACATCCAGCACTAAACTGTTTTATTGTAGAGATCACTTACAGTATCTTCTTGATTTTTTATATTCTATCTTTCTATCTTTGACCTTCTACTTTCCCCCTATTTTGTATGTACTCTTAATATTTTTTTCATCAAATATAACATATTCAACAAAAATATTAAATAACGTGCTTTAACCACTAGGTGGTGCGGGTTAAAAAACTGTCAAGTTTAAAGTGTTAACACAATAAATTATACTTTCCAGTATAAGTTTCCAGTTTAGTTCATGACAGATGTATTTTGTTATCCACACATATATTTTTGGGATATTTGAACCCACACCTGCAACAGTCAAAGACAGGCAACTGTTGAGGAGTTGGAAAGGTAGTTTCTGAAGATGTTACAAATAAGGTACACATATGCCATAATAACTTTGTATTATTAGTGTAGGACACTTATGTATGTATTACATCTGAAGATGTGTAGTTTTATTCATGTTTTCACATAATTTTACAGGATATTGCTATATTATTATTTCACATGTTTTACTTCTACACATTAATATCTGATTTGTAAAACATCACAGACAGAAAGGTATATCCGTCATTTAATGGTAAGCTATTGAAATTCTGATTCCATAGATGTGTCTCCCATCACCCAAAACCCTGACTATTCTCTCAACTCAGTATTTACATTCTTATATGCAAAGAAAATCAGTAATATCTTTAAAAACTACAAGTCCCTGTCTATCAGCTGTGCACCGTTATGGTGTAAATATTGCCTATCTACCAATTAGATCAAATATAAAAGTCAGCTGCATTTGTATTGATACTGCAAGGAGACGTATTGTGTGAGGAGAAATTGAAGATGTTGTTTAATTGCTGATATATTTATGATCCACGTCACGTATTCGGTTTCGGTGGCAGTTCTTCCAGTTTGTCCAGAAGTCTTCTAATCTATAAATAGAGAACTATGGCAGATGTGTAATATTTAATGCAGCCGAACCGTGTATTACAATGCTGTTATGTGATGACTATCAAAGAGAAAAGCAAGCACAAATAAAGTATTATTATTATTTAATTTTTTTAAATGTTTTTTGGATTTCATATCGCATTAACACCATATCCCAACGTGCATTGCGGCTAAAACATCCAATCACCGAGCTTCAACCATAGCTGAGGATCTTGGGTAATCAGTTCAGTGGGTGTGTATCGCAATAATGCTAGAAATGTCCCATATATAGACCTACGTCTGTTTCCGGTGACTTTGTTTTGAAATTCAGTTCCTGACGGACGGCAAAAAAGCCAGAGATTATAGAATTAAACAAATAAATAAAAACAAGGATAATTGTGTGCTATTGTTGAGTAAATAACAGTGTGTTATTTAGAAAATAATAACAAATTAGAAGGAAAAAAAGATTTAAAAAATACTATTTCAGTATTCTGAGCCTCTAAGCCCCATTTATTTTCCTCACGGACGGCAAAAAAAGTCCGTAAGAAAATGTTTTTATGAACCACACAGCTTCCGGTCTTCCAAGACCCGACCGGACAAAAAGACGTGGTGCAGGCACAAAACATACTACCAATAGAAATACATTAATTCGTAGAAACACGAATCAATAGATTACATTTCGTGACTATAACACGAAATGCCGTGAGACTGGGTCGTTTGGTCAGGGTTTTTATCATATGCTGTGTCTCTTTGCATTCTCCTTCACTTACATGTGCCATTTTGTGTGCATAAGTGCATCCAAATGTGAAGTATGGCAAAAAGTACTATAACTTATAATGTTCAAAAAATTGAGTGTTGAACGTTGAACATCTATGAAAGCCATCTTGAATACGTAACCGAAGAGATGGGACCAGCCACGCCTGCAGTTGAACTGTTCAACACAGCACTATAAAATAGTGCTATACGTGTTTTTCTTTTACTATATTTAATAAACATACCACTATAATAGTGTCAAAAAAGTAGCCACTTTTAGCCCTTTTATTGGGTTCATTGCGATGGAAACATTTCTTGCTAGCTAGCTAGCTAACAGCAGTTGTGCCTTCCAGTGAGGGAAAAGCTGCTTCTTGCATTTTGAGACAACACTACAAGTGGAAATTCTCACTGCACAAGTGATAACAAAGCACGACATGGCAGTGTGCTAAGTATGGTAACCAAATTGAAACGCTCTGTTACTGTGCTTAATTTAAGCAGTTACTATTTGTAGTTTCTGATTTAACTGACACTTGTGAAAGTTAAATTAACTGTCTTAAGAAAGCAAATACGTGTTTTTTTCCTTCAATGTGTCAAATAACTTTATAGAAAACAGCAGTCAGTGATCGAAGAGCTTAAGAATTGGCTAGAAATGTCTTATTTTCTCACATTTACAAATAACAGAAACGGTTATGATATTACAATATGATAATCTCCTTTCTACAGCAACAAGTGCGCCGATCACCCCTGATCCCTCTTTCAACACTGTGGACTTCCTGGGTATGAAGCTCTCAACAAGTGATGCTGAGACCGGACTTGCCACCACGTTTGCTCTAATGATTGTTGCAGCGTTTGGAGCTATTTGTTTATCTGTTTGCCTCTTTAAGGCACAAAAAAGGTCCCACCAAAAGCAGAACATTGAAACTATAAAAATGGAACAGAAATTATAAACCCAAATCTGTAGAACTGTGACCTTTCTGTGCTGCATTTTCATGTATACAGTTGCAAGAAAAAATGTGAACCCTTTAGAATTACCTGGATTTCTGCATAAGTTGGTCATAAAATGTGTTCTGATCTTCATCTAAGTCACAACAATAGACAAACACATTCTGCTTAAACTAATACTACACAAACAATGATATGTTTTCATGTTTTTATTGAACACACCATGTAAACATTTACAGTGCAGGGTGGAAAAAGTATGTGAACCCCTAGAATAAAGACTTCTTCAAGAGCTAATTGGAGTCAGGAGTCAGCCAACCTGGAGTCCAATCAATGAGACGAGATTGGAGGTGTTGGTTAAAGCTGCCCTGCCCTATAAAAAATACACACCAGTTTTGAATTTGCTATTCTTAAGAAGCATTGCCAGATGTGAACCATGCCTCGCACAAAAGAGCTCTCAGAAGACCTACGATTAAGAATTGTTGACTTGCATAAAGCTGGAAAGGGTTACAAAAGTATCTCTAAAAGCCTTGATGTTCATCAGTCCACGGTAAGACACATGGTCTATAAATGGAGAAAGTTCAGCACTGTTGCTACTCTCCCTAGGAGTGGCCGTCCTGTAAAGATGACTGCAAGAGCACAGCGCAGAATGCTCAATGAGGTGAAGAAGAATCCTAGAGTGTCAGCTAGAGACTTAAAGAAATCTCTGGCACATGCTAACATCTCTGTTGACGAATCTACGATACGTAAAACACTGAACAAGAATGGAGTTCATGGGAGGACACCACGGAGGAAGCCACTGCTGTCCAGAAAAAACATTGCTGCACGTTTGAAGTTTGCAAAAGAGCACCTGGATGTTCCACAGCACTACTGGCAACATATTCTGTGGACAGATGAAACCAAAGTTGAGTTGTTTGGAAGGAACACACAACGCTATGTGTGGAGAATCCAAAGGGTTCACATACTTTTTCTTGCAACTGTAACTTCCTTGACATTTATAAAGTTGTTGATTAAATATGTGTATTCATTGCAGGCTGTAAAAAATGTAAATGTTTTTCCGGCAGCAGAGTTCATTTATCTTCCACCATCTTCAATATGTTACTGCTACTCATAATTCCCTGTTCATACGTTTTTGTTGTTTTGTCACATTATTGACTGCTTTACTGATCTAGATGTACCATGCCATGTGAACCACACTTAATAAATGAATCGGGTGACAAATGTCATTACTTTCTTTCAAATGCATCAAGAAAAAAGATAATAGACGTTCCATAAATTCTTGAACAATAAAAAGTGTAGTAAAAATAGAAAAATAGATATTGCACCATGTTGAAATACTGGAGTAACTTTGTACATTACTCAATAATTACATGTATTGCATTTATGTTATAAAAGTGAACTAATGGGGTTGCAGCTCTGTCATTAAAAGCTGAGGTTAAAATCAGCCTTTAGCCTTTAGAGCCTTTAGAGGACGTCAGAGGTTAATCTGCACACTGGTTTCAGGAATCAGAACCCCTCAAATATTTGACGGTCCTTTAATGTATTGTCCAAAAAAAACGAATCCAATTTTGCTCCCAAATTAAAAGCATGCACACTTTGATCCTAATTTATTGTATGACTTATTCCCACTGCTTATTTAACAGATATTTCAAATGTTTTATCAGTAAATATTGTTAATTGTTCATGCACAGTAAAGTCAATCATCTGAAAGCTTAGTTCCATTGTCCAAGATAAACACGTGAATAAACATACGTTTTGTTATATTAACTATCACTGCAAAAATCATTTAACTGCACATATGCTTTAAGTTTGAACATACATGCAGCTGATTTTAAAACCTGATAAATAACGGATAAGCTAAACCAGTTAAAGTTACAAAAACTCAGGCAACACAACTTCAGCCTTTCAAGTAAAGGGTTAGTAAAATAATACTACAATTTTAAACTATTCTGGTCTCAAACCTTTACTTTTGCTTAATACAAGCTGATTTTGTTTATTCAAACCCTTGTAAAAACTAAGGTGTGTGTCAGTATACTGGGATCTGTCATATTACCCCCATTCTGGCCTCTCTCCACTGGCTGCCAGTACGGCTCCGAATTGACTTTAAACTTCTCTTATTTTTGTATAAAGCCCTAAATGGGCAGGGCCCCTCCTATGTGGCAGACCTCCTTGTCCAATTTTCTAGCTCCAGGCCCCTCAGGTCGGCTAACCTGGAGCTCCTGGTTGTCCCACGCAGGGGCGAAGCCAGGGATTTTGGGCCCCATGAAAAGATATCACATTGGTTACTTCAAAAAAAATTCTTAATGTACTAAAATAGTTTGGGCCCCTGTCAGTCACGGGCCCTTAGAATCGTCCTAACTTTTCACCCCCTTACGGCGCCCCTGGTCCCACGCTCCAAGCGTAAACTCAGGGGTGACCGAACCTTTTCTATTACAGCCCCAAGACTGTGGAACAGCATCCCCCTCCCTATCAGACCGGCCCCCTCCATTGACTGTTTTAAATCCAAGTTAAAAACACACTTTTACTCTAGCGTTTGACTCCTCCATATCTGGCTGATTGTGCCTGTACCTATATTTGTTGTGCATATGACCTTTCTGTATGTATGTTTATGACGTTGTTAAACTGGAACTAATTTACACCTTAAATTATTAATATATACATAAAAAAAAGGTTTACAAGTATCCAACCTGCAAATTGCTATTTTAAATCAACATTGCTCTGCACACTTGCTAAAGATAATTTGTGTCGACATCTCAGTTCATTTGTAGGGCTGCGTGAGTATGGCCAAAAGTGTAGGAGTAAATCTCACTGTAAACTATTCATCACCAAATTCGGTGTTATGACACATCATAACTCGCTTTATGCACACACATACATTTAGCATGGTTTAGAAAAAAACGGGCTCCGTGTTACAGGACGGGTCGGGTGATTCTGCAGCTCCTGATCGGAGCAGAGAGACACGTTCACTAAGCCGAAAAACTATATCCGGTCACAGAGATCTGCTATTTTAAAATAAAGTCAACACATATCAACCTTAAATATAGTCTATATTAAGAACGAGAACATTTTTACAAGTGTTTTGTAAACATAGGACAAATGTGGGAGGGTGATGACGTCAGAGCATTGTCCTATGTGCCGGGGCAGCCCCGGCCCAATTTAACCCCTGGTAACCAGAGCACGGCTCTGCTTTACACACATTTTTAAGATAAGATATTTAAAATGGCACTGTCGTATACATTTAATTAATCCATTTGATAATATGTAATCAACTTAGGCACCCCTCCCATAAAAAAAAAACCCAATTACAATACAAATATTCACAACTCCTATTTAAATACCTGAATCATTTCGAATATTTGATTAATCATTCTCATCCCTAGTTGCTACCATCAGATCAGGTGATGTTACTTAAACAAAATGACAATCTTACAGGAATTGGACAGTTTTGAAACCAGAATGAAACCACTTGGCAAAAACTTTTGTTGCAAAAATTTATTTAAAAAACTAGCCAAAAGTACTATCAATACAAAAAGTATAAAAAGTACAAAAAGCATTTTCAAAAAGAACTTGAGATGACAATGTTTGAGTTGGCACTGTGGGTATGATTCAGAATACAAAATGATGGCATCTTAGAGCATCAAGGCATTGAAATGGTTACATTGTTTTACAACCCTCATTCAGACTCTGGAACAGTGTATCCACAAATCTGCACTTTAAGCGGAATACATGAAAATGTTCCCAATTACACCGTAAAATATGATTAAATCTACCTGTGTAAGGAATAAGGGAATGTTTGCAGGTCGGCGACGATGAGTAAATAATAAAATAAGCCGAAGGTTCCAAAAATGTTTTTGCTTTTGAACTCAATCGTACTAAATCCTTTCAGAATGCACCTGTCCATGGTTCAGCTTCAGGGAACTAAGACAGCAATGAATGTCATTCCTATAAAATAATAATCTGCCACAGTGACAAAAGCCTCTTCTCGACATCACAATACTTACTAATACAAAAATAAAGAACAGCATCAAATACACGCTTTAAACAATACAGGATAATATCAAGAGTTCATGTGTTTCAAGCATTACCCAGGTTTGTTCATTCCTTTGGACAGAGGCACCCCAAGTGTGTTCCAGTTACCATCAAAGCACCAGGCTTGGGAATGTTGACTGGTGCATTGTCAAAATAATAAAGAGGAAGAAAGAAAAAGTGACACACTTGAGAAACCTTTGTATGAAAAATAACTCCTTAAAAAAAAGTCTTCATTGGCATGACAATAGTTCCAGTACCTTGCTTTTATGAGTGGTGTCTTGTCCATTGACATTTCATTGCAGCTCACTCGACGTACAAAAATCTTACAGTTTAAACATGTTTTTCCCACAACAACTGGCTTGGCCATACCTACAAATAGCCAGAATACAGAGTTCCAGTTTAGGTCTAAGGCAAACTTGAGATGCATTCACTGTGAACTTCCAATGGGATAAACTCTTTAGAGTATGACGAATAGCTTTTAAGTCTTGTAATGAAAACATTAAAATATTCAAAATAGAATAGCTGCCCTGAGGGGGAAGTACATGGTAACCTTGACCATTCTTGCTGACGGAAGTTTGTAAGCACTTTGGATCTTCAGACAGGCGTCTCAATTATTGCTGGAGTGAGACGACTGCTCTCCTCCTTTGACTCGATGCTCGACCGTGGCTGGCCGTAACACTGGAAGGCTTGGGTTGACTTCATCCACCTCAAGCAAAAGTCTCACACACACACACTCACACAAACACACACTTTGATTCCCTTATGTCCTCTCACTGATGGGAATTTCAGTCTAGAGTGTCAGCTGGGCTGATGAAAATCTATGCACGGAGACCTGTGAACAAAGATACAGAGCCAGTGTTAGTAAAGCTTTTTGTTGTGATCAAAGCTACAGAAAAGATTAAAAATACAAACGTATGGTTGTTTCTCTTAGGTTGAAAAGGGTTGGATGCCTTACCTTTTTCACATGTACTGCTCTGCTTCTCCTGGGCAAAGTTTAGCCTGTTCTGCTCCACTGCAGTGCCGTTGGACTCTGGGCTGCTGCTGCGTGAAGGACTGCTTTCCCCGTTCTGG